GAATTTTCTAAATAATTTATCATGTACGATTTAGCAATGCTTAAAATTCATAATAAGAATAAAAAGAAAATATTGATTGTCTAACAAATTAGTTTTAGTTCACTGAAGTATAAGTTACAAGTGGAAGATTTGTTTTTGCCTTTTGGTCATTAAAGTACATTTGATTATACATTAAATATAATATAATAAAAGATGTTTCACTGACTAATAAACTACACAGTTACCTAGATATCAGTAAGACCTGTATTTCCCTGTTCTCTGGAATCTGTTTTATTTAATTGTAGACTACAATATAATTCTGATTACACATGGTGTATCTGAAACTATACCTACAAATTGCCTTCTTCCTTATTCCAGTGCCTGAAAGCTTCTCCCAACAAAAATTTTCTGCTCAAGAACAGCAAATCAATTCGTTATATTGATATGAAAGCATTCTCAGGTAGCTTTGAATTCAACCCCCCCCCCCACTCCCCTTCGTAAACTTTTCAATACTGCAGTGATTTGTGCTTTTTCCTAGCCAATGTGGTCCAGTGAGCGATGTGGCCCGTGGGCCTCTTGTTTTTCACATTTTGTGTCTTCCATTAAAATTAATGTAACAAATATAATCTTTTGTACAAAATAATACACCAAGTGTAGCCCTTGAATTCGGTCAATCCATAGACATTTCGACTTCTCAGAGAAGCATATCAACCTCGCACTTCGTGCTCGGTCAATATTCTTTTCTGTAAAGTCAATATATCTATGGATCGATCCCAAGAGAAAACTATGTACAATAGGTATTTTCCATATTTGTATTTATCAAATTAAAACATGTATTTTGTTTATTCTTCATATAGGAAAAAGAAAGTGGAGAAAACAGTAAGTTATGGCATGAACATAGATAATAAACTTATTTTCAATTTTTGAGATTTGTAGGCTTGTAGGATTTAGATATGTGCTGAACTTCTTAATTGAAAACGATGAGCACTTTAAGAATAAAAATATATGTATTTTTCACCACAGTGAAAGCACTATGCAGCCAAGGTCTGATTATTTTATTTTCTTGCCTGTCTAGAACAGATTATTCATTTTCAGTTCTTTTGTTCGGGAAGCATTTAAGTCGTTTCTCTGGAAATTCGGATTTTTTTTTTTTTTTTTTTTTTTTTTTTTTTTGGAAAAGTTCACGTTGACAAATTATCAGACCACCAATAAAACATAACGTAAAAGCAACATTGTCAGCGCGTCTACGGCTAGGAAGTACACCACCACGACGTCATCACGTGACTGTTATTAATAAATATAAAAGTAAAAAGAACACCAGTTCTCCGGAGATTTATCATTTGTATTAACAAAATATATTACTCAAAATATCTTTAGTGCATAAAAAGTGCCGCTGGAGTACTATTCTCCGCTCAGTTTAATTTATTCCACAAGTTCGCACGAACCCTTATCAGATTGCAATGTATACATATAACCCGAGAATTTCATTTAGATTGTCGGACGAATAACAGCAGCGCTTTTCTAGTATTATAGACCATAACTTTTGAACAAGACGAAAATTATGCTTTAAAGTATCCGGCTTACTGTTGCACCTCTGCAGTTTTAAGTGTCACGAATGACAGAAGAAAGTTCGAACGGAATAAGTAAACAACTGATTGATTGTCTTCATTAAAAGGTAAAATTGTTGTAGAAAATCAGTATACTCGGTTAACAAAAGTTAATTCCATATTATCACATACAATACTCTCGGTATTTTCTTCTAAACCCCCATTTAATGTGCCTTTTACATGGCGTTTTTACCAAATTTTCGTTACATTTACAAGGCAAAATCAATCCTTCAATATTTAATAAATAATTAATAACGACGTCATCGGCCGGATTATTTAACTCCAAGGACAGAAATAACATAAAAAACCCAGACATTTCTTTTTAAAAATATTTTTATAATTCTATTCAATTTCATGACCTCAACTGAACCTTTAGATACAGAATTTTTAAGAAAACATTAGTTCTACAGTTGACATCATTTAGTTTTCTGTGACGTCATATTGTATCACAGATTTTGTCAATTCAGACTGTCTGAATGTTTCCTTAGCACATCTGCATATTTTCAAATCTGCTGCTTCTCTGTTAAACGTTGTCCTTTTATTACAACGATATGAGTAATTTATTGTCAGTGTCACTTTCGTTGATTTTCTCCAGACCTTGTGACGTGTTAGTGACGTATTTTACATGCATTGTATATTCGTGCGTGCAGCAAATATGGAGACAACGAACTTTTTAATTTTGTTCAGTTTTACATGTATTTTTCTTGCATTAAAGGAGACATTATATGTATATTCAATTTCAAAATTTACATATAAGAGGCATCCAGGCTACAAGTCTTAGAAAAGTTCTAGAGTAAAGGTTCATAGTTAATCAAAGTATTTACTATAGTTCACTATATGTAGCTTTAAGAAACTATAGTCAATTATTGTAATCTTTTGTCAGGATATGTACTTTATCAATGTAAATCATGCAAAATTAGTTGTGTGTGCATTTAAATGTAGGTCCTGTAGGATTGAACGTGTACTTAGTCACTTGTGAGGCATGCAAGGTTAGGAATGCAAGGGTTCCATGCAGTGCAAATCACTTGGTTAATTAATTAATTTTTTTTTTTGTCATACGTATAATAAATATTCACATAATTATTCTGTTTGAAGAAAGAATGTAATTCTATACCTAATTTCCCGTGCTTCATTAGGGAAATGAGAAACTGAACAAAAAAATCACGACCAATATCTTCTTCTTTTTCTTATTAAGACGTTATTCGTTTTCAGTGGCATTAGCAGCCCATTTAAGCACTGTTTTCGGCAAACGAAATGCATCATTTGCAGTAGATGGTGTGACAAAATGCAGTGTAAATGAATTGCCTCACACCATGGCTGGAACCAATCCATGGATAAGAATTGATCTGGCCTATACAACCATTGTAACAAAAGTTATAGTATACAACAGGATAGATTGTTGTGGTGAGTTGTTTTCTCTTTTTAATAAGTAGTACCTTCAATATAATAATATGAGGAAACCACAGACAGAAGTGAAAAAAATCGGTACGTACTCACAAGCATATGCTCTCTCTCTCTCTCAAGTTTTCTTTAGTAATTATCAAAATATGACCATTTACAAACTTCCGCAGCCGTAAAAATAGAACACATTGTTGTTTTGCAATTGGAAGAAAAATATTATCATGTGATATACAATTCGTTCCCAACTTAAAAGTCATAAAAGACAAGATGAAAACAATGTTTCTCCGAGAAATAAAAAAGAGAATTGAACACGTTTTCAAAGCCAAAGCTTAAAATATTTGCTATTCTATTTATTTAGAATAATAGTTAAAATGAAATATATGGAGATAACGAACAGTATTCAAGCTCAAAAGTCCATTAAACATTGCAAAATAGGTGCAGAGCAAACACGGACCTCCAAAACATCAGAGGTGGGATCAGGTGCCATGGAGGAGTGAACATCCCCTGCCGACCTGTCACACCCGCTGTGTGCTCCTTGTCATGATCAGGAATAACGGAAAATCCGTCGATCATTCAGTGTGTAAATAATGGTCTAACAATAAGTATGTTAAACGTCAGTCAGCATTTGACTCAATGATAAATTGTATTTGCTGACAAGGTCATTGTATCGACCGTAGAACTTACGAAATGATGACTTTAAACGAGACTGCTGATATTCTTGTTTCATCAACTTGTTAATCAATAATTCCATTTCATTGAATTCACCTTAGACTTGCATGTATTTTTTTTAAATAACAAATTTTTCCTTGACATATTTTTTACAAAATGTAAATTCGGGCTTTAATATTAGTCAAAGAAAAAAGACTTCATACCTTGTGACCATAAACCTTTCAAGAACAATAATTCGTTTATTATACAAATGAAATATATGGAGATAACGAACAGTATTCAAGCTCAAAGTCTATTTAAATAATACAAATAATCTATCTCTTATCTTTCATATGTGTTTCATTCGTCTAAAATCCAAATTCAAAGTTGCTGATATCACCTTTTCTCCTTGATGCCATATTTGACTTTAAAATATAGATTTCAATTAATTTATCCGCCCATCCCCTGTGGACCATACCTTAAACAGCATTAAGTCTACACTATCTTAGATTGCTTGCATATCACCATATCAATATCCCTAATCATGGACCTGTTTCAAGGTTCATAATTTCACATATTTTCATCTTGTACGTAATAACATTACAACGAACCTGGTCTTAATCCGAGGTCAATATTGAGTTTTTTTGTGATTAACCCCATAACATGCACATTAACAACAAATGGGGATTCTATGATTAAAAGCCGAGTGCCAAACTTTAAAAGAATGTTTTCTACTCTCAAAACAACAAAATTTTAAAACAATCTTCGATACAGTCCAATACTGTTTGTATTTTTTGGATAATTCAGTTTCAAATATATAAAAGCTCAAATTACTGAAGTATTTTAACATTTATTCTCTCTAAAAGTGCAACTATTTGATATTAAGCTTGAAAAAAACCATACACCGAAATTCTTTTGCATTGAGACTTAAACTTTTGTATTTTCAAAAAAAAAAAAAAAATGAATAAATAAAGAAAGAAATAATAAATAAAAATAGATTTTCTTTGAAAAATTGATGCCAAAATACACATTTAAAACGTTGATCATTAATTGTTTTCATTTTTCTTGTAATTTTGTTATAGGAGAGCGATTACACGATGTTTCTGTGAATGTCAACGAACCAGAAAGTGCGCGAAATTTTCCTTGTGGCTTCTATCCTGGACCAGCCATTAACGGAGATCGCATCCTGTTTCTGTGTGAGAATGGTGCTAAGGGTGAAAGTGTTACAATTATCATAAATTCTAAGAATGGACAGGAGAGTGTTCTCCATGTGTGTGAAGTAGAGGTTTTCGGAAAACGTTAACACTGCTTCAAACACATGGTGACATTAAAACACCAAGATTTCTTAACACAATTAACACTGATTAGTATACAGCGACTCTGGTTTTCTTATATAATCTCATTAGACATTTCGAGAATAGAGTGAGATTTATGAAAACTCTTGACTAAATTTATAAGAATTAGTAGTATGGATAAACTTAAAGGTTTATCTTTCGACATCTAACACGTGCTAAGAAGATTGTCAAGTGCATCACTAAAGTTATAAATCAAAATCGAAAGCAAACATTTATTTGTATAGATCTTTGTATAATCTAAGTTATAAAATAGATGAATTGATCCAAAAATGTAAGTATATTGTAACAGTTTATACAGCTCAAATATTTTTAATTTAATATGAGTTTGTGCTATATAATAAATTGCTCATTCTGGAAATTAATATATTGCCACAAATGGCACAAACTAAAAATATGATTAATATTCCAAATTTTATAATGGTTTTTTCCATTTATGATAAGCATTTTTCCTTGTATTTAGTATGTACGAATAAAAGTCTTTTTGACACTACGTTTGCTACGTATAACATATTCAGAGAACATTTTTTCCTGGAATCGATTCAATCATGTCCAACTGAAGTGTCTTTCAAATGTTTTTTTTTTTAACCGGTAGCGTGTTTTCAAAACAATCCTCGTATTTCACAGTAAACTTCAATTTACAACCAGGTTGTGTTTAAATTGACACCATTTCCGTACTAAGTTGGTGTAGAAAATGCTCTGCGTCTGTGAAACTCTCCTGTGCTTAATGATAGACAGTAACAGATTTTAGAACAATATGCGCTTGATTGTATTATTTCCCAGAAAACGAGTTTTATGTAGCAGCGAAAATAACTCAGAGAGCTCAAGAGAGTTTCTTAAAATAAACGTTCTGTCGACACCGTTTACCATGTCAATACATAGGGTTCATAGAGGGTGTGACCGGTCAACAGGGGATGTTTACTCCTACTGGACTTTTGCGAGAAGCACTGACTTTTACACTCGACGGCTTACTTTGACATTTAAACATGTATTATGTACGGAGGTACGGAATTGATATAAGAATAGAAAACCTTGCTTGTGGTCATAAGCATGGTGTAGGGGCACGTAGATGATTTACTGGTATGCAATCAACACAAGAGATGATAACATTTAACTTAAAATACCTTATTTGTAAGGAGCAGTATTTCCTTTCTATCTTATTATATTTCTTGGTTTGTTTATGCCTTTTTTCGAATATCTAAAAATAAAATAAAGTAAAATACATTTTCTAAAGCTAAAATTTAGACATTGATGATTCTTAGAAGGAAATAACAAATGATTTTTATTTTCTTAACAGTAGAAACTGCATTGCGAGTTTAATCATTTTCCTAGTGTTCGAATAGATTTTGCTTTCACTTATTAGTCATTTTATGATAAATGGACCAATTCATATTATACATGTAAAACATGAAAAAAAATTGTTTTAAATAGCAAAATGAACATGATAATTCTCCCAAAGGACATATCAGTGAACTTGAAAATAAAGAATTGTCCACAAATCTGGTATCGTTGATTTTTTGGCAACAATATCAAGATACAATTGATTTTAAGATAATGTTACGGAAGTTAATGCTTGATCAAGCCTTATTATTTTTTGAATAAAGCTGAAGTTGACCAATTTTTCGTTTCTGATGTTCAGTAAAGAACGCTAAAGCATGATTCATGAAGTCTCGCATGAATCAGAATTTAAATTAAATTTTCGGGAAAAATATCGTTACAGAAGTTAATCGTTACGGAAGTTAATTCCCAGCAATAAAAGTTAAAATTCTATTCAATAGTTAAAATCAAAGTTTGTTATGCGATATTAAACAAAAGTATGTAGTAAAATAATAAAAAAAATATATACCTTTAATGCAAAAACTTTCCTGAATTATCGTTACGGAAGTTAAATTTTTAAGAGAGATAACTGTTTTTGTCTAATTCATATTGTTATGTCAAAAATGTAATCGTCTAAAAAAGCTGACTCCCAACTACAATCGATGATATAAGGTTCCGTGGTCACTTTCACATACGTTTCAGTTCTTTTTGAAATCTGCGCTCTATGCGTGAAATTTAAAACAAAATCGTTACAGAAGTTAATCGAATTTAAGAGACATGCTATGATTTCGCATGAACAGAGATCCATGCATTTCTTTGCGAGAAGTGGTTTGATTTCTTTTTACATAGGATAATTTTTTTAACATTCATTGCAATCTATTCGGAACGATTTTACGGCTGAAAATTTCATCTTGAAATTTGGAAATAAATGAAGCGACATTAAGATTTGCAGTGGAATACGTTTTTCAACATTACATCATGTTCATATCAATTATAAACTCAAATTTAAATTTATAGTTAAGATATTACAACGGTAAATTTGTAAGCGACATAAAAAATTCTAAATTGATCATGTTTTTGTAGAATGACTGTTATCTCCAAATTGCAGTTACATTTAGAACAATTTCAGTTGCATACTGTGGGAGCATACAAATTTCGTGGGAGCAAAAATATTTGACTTTAATATTGTAATCATTTTTTAAAAATACAAAGTATTGTTCTTTAGATAATACAAACAATGAAATACAGCGTGTACTATAAACTCTAAAATTTGAATAAGTTCTTCAGTATTTCTAACTTTGATTGTCTTTCAAAAAATGATTCAAGGAAATACAAGTAAGATCTGTGCCCTCTTTGAATAATACTTGTAATTAAATTTTTCTTGTAACTTTGTTATAGGGAAGCGATTACGTAATATTTCTGTGATTGTCAACGAACCAAAGAATGGGCAAAATTATGACGTATATGTGGGAGTCCTTAACCTAGCTGCGTACTAAATTTGACTACGGAATGCTCCGTCTTCTTGACATTGGGAAGAAGATATGACCAGTTAACAGGGGATACTTACTCCTCCAACGCACCCGATCCCACCCCTGGAATTTCCGGGGGTCATAGTTTATGCCCTGTTCACAGCCTGCTATTGTTTGTAGTTTTTATGAGATTGATCGCTGCTCGTTATTTTCACCAGTTTTCATTCAATGGACTTTTGACCTAGATTACTGTTCGTTATCATTTCACTGATGTGATATTTTGTTGTTGTTTGCAATAAGAAACACAGTGTTTTTAACCCCAGTGTTCTCATGGTATGTAGGGAAGATTCTAGCATTAAAGGAATTGGAGTCTGTTACATACATGAACATGTACTCATGTACTCAAGAATATGATTGATTATATGTTGTTTTACGTCCCATTCGAGAATTTTTCACTCATATAGAGACGTCACCATATACCGATAAAGGGCTTTAAATTTTGACCTTTACTCGGCGCTCAGGGCCATTAAGCAGTGAAGGATCTCTATTGTGTCAACGCCTGCCGTGGAACGGGACTTCGGTTTTTAAGGTCTCATCCGAAGGACCCGCAACTTTCACTTCAAAGTGCCGAGCGCATGGCGAAGGAATAGCTGCTACCCATTTTTTATCGACTTAGGTCAGTCGCGGCCGAGATTCAAACTCACGACCTCCCGATCACGGAGCGAGCGCTCTACCGACTGAGCTACCATGAATGGTCTCAAGAATCTGGCCTTTTAACTAGATTGGTTGTGCATAACGTTTTGAAAAAAAACATATATGTGACTGTATTAGATAAAAAGTAACCCATCAAAGTGTTTTACTTTTCCAATTTTTCTTTTGGATTTTATTTTCATAGTATATAAATACCGGAAAAGAAATTGTAAATTTAATATAAATGAGAATTCGTTCACAGTGAACTTCTAATCACTTGATTTGTTTTTTATTCAAATTTTAAGTAAATTTATTCAAAATTATTTCAAGATTTGATTTTTTCTTCGGGGGAGTGATGCACCCCTAAGATTTGACTTTTTCTTCTTAGAGTGATGCACCCCTAAGATTTGACTTTTTCTTCTTAAAGTGATGCACCCTAAGATTTGACTTTTTCTTCGAACAGTGACACACCCCTACAGCCTCTAGATATTTCATTAATGTTACTTGTGATGATATAGTGAATGCTTCGTAAACACTTTAAAAGAAATTCAAAATGTAAATGTTTCGAGGTAAAACGTAAAGATAACAAAATGATCTCCTAAACCCAGGACCCCCCCCCCCCCAAAAAAATAATAAAAATAGACAAAAATAAAAACATGGACCCTGGGAACACCAGAGGTGGGATCAGGTGCCTAGGAGGAGTAAGCATCCCCATTCTCTGTCGACTGGTCGCCGTAAACCTTCTCTATTGATCAGATAAATACAGTATTTCAAAGTCAAAATTGGTGTACAAAATAGCCTAACAATTATGTAATCAGTCTGAAAATACAGCCCAATGATAGGCTGTGATTCCAAAAAGGTCATTATATCTTTCATAAATTTGCAAAATGCTGACTTTATACGGGGATTTTGAAAGTCTCTCAACATCAAATCATTTGTCAGCTACCTGTCTTGGCTAAAAATTGATCATTCTCAGAACATGCTCTTGTGCATCTAAGCAGTTTGGAGACACAACTACCATCTTATGCGATACTGGAATATTACTGCATAATTTTGATTACTATATCCCACAACGTTCATAAACATGTAACTTCAATACTAGGTTCTAGTATTCTCCGACCAACCTCTTTCTTGGAGAAATGTATCCGAGACCTTCTCAGAATATTGGAGGTCATGTAAAAGAGTATTCCACAAATAAATTTAAAGATTCCTTCATTTTTCATGAACTACAAATACATGTATTCTTTTACCCATGGTTTCTATAGACAACATTTATTATCATTCCTCAATTCTTTGGAACTATATTTGATGTTTTTCTTTATTTTGTCATTGTAAAGAAAAACAAACGTTGTTAGTTAATACTTTAACATACATACACTTCAATACATATATACAGGCACACTTCTAATGACTAATGATACAATCTTCTACAAACTGGAAGAAGTTATTCAAATAAATTATAATTTCCACGGTTATTGTTTGATTTAATGGAGGACAAAAAATTCTTTAAATAATCTTGTTAAAAGTTTTATTAGCT